ATTTGAAGATACTGGTACTTAATCCTCTTACAGAAAATTTGCCTCTAAATTTGAAGCTGGAAAGTCACTGGAACAACTGAAAAACAATATATGGCTTTTTTTTGGGTATGTGTGTTAAGAATTGTGTACAAAGTGAATCATGTGTACTGATCCTCAACACAACCAATAAAATCTCAAATATTGAAGATAAAAAAAAAAAGAAAAAGAAAAACAGTATGCAACAGATAAATATTAAATGTAAGAATACACTATTAGTAAGTCAGTAAGATTTTAAAGCTTTTTTTGTAAGTTTGAAAATACTAAGAAGTTTGGATTTGACCCACACGCAACCAAATGCTTTTTTTCACTTATTTTTATTAATCTGATTAATTGTACATTTTTTTATTTTAGAGAAAAATACAGAATTTCAAAACAAGAAATTAACAATGGTTATTATATTGCATACTGTTATCTTCAAGTAGTTGCTCTCATTACCAGATAAAGGCATGCAAAACTCATGAAGCAATAGAAGCAGTACCTGTTCCTTCCAATGAAGTAGTGGAAATCAGCAGTACAATTATCTTAGCTATCTGGGGCCCGCCAAACAGCTCATCCAATTAAAGCACCTGCAAACAGGTGCAGGGCCGGCCTGGGCTTGGCGTGCTGGCCCCGCCCCCACTCCCAGGGCGCAGAGACAATGATCAAGACTGGGCGTGGTGGCGCTTGCCTGTAATCGCAGCACTTGGGAGGCTGTAAACAGGAAAATCACTACAAGTCCCATCTAGTAGTGAAGCCCTGAACACCCTGTAGACCCTTATTATCTTAGCTATCGTGTGTGTGTGTGTGTGTGTGTGTGTGTGTGTGTGTTTCCCTTCTTTTCTCCTTTCGGCCATCCCAGCTGTTCTTTCCTTTTGAGCAGTTCTTCTCTTTCACAATATAAAAACACGAATGCTTCATGAATGTGCAGGCCATCCTTGCACAGGCGCCACGCTAACCTTCTCTGTGTCATTCCACTTTTGTACATGCACTGGCAAAACAAGCACTCAGCCCAATGCTTTTAACATTTTCCGCCCCCCCAGGGGGAGGTGTCTGAGACAGGGTCTTACTCTGTAGCTCACTCAAACTCAGTGATCCTACTCCTTCAGCCTCCTCATATTGAGATTGCAAGTGTGCACCACCACACCCTCCTTCCCAGTGAAAGACACCAACATCTAACCTGGCACTGAGCCAGACACTTGGCATCCTCCACAATTCCTTTATCCTCACCCACATTCAACTGATCATTAAGTTAAGCACTCTCAATTTTACTTCCTAAGTACTTCCCCAATCTATCTACAGTACATCTTTCCATCACTTTCATCCAAGCTACTACAATCTCTCACGTGAAGTAAGACTCCAGCTGGTCTCCACAGCTAAATGGCCTCATCTCCAATCAGCTCTCAACAACACAAGAATAAACTGTTACACCTATAATCCCAGCACTTGGGAGGCTGATACAGGAGGATCACTGTGAGCTCAAGACCAGCCTGGGCTACAAAGTGAGCACAAGGCCAGCCTGAGCTGTAGAGGAGACCCTGTCTCAAAAAAGACAAAAATAAATAAATACATATGAACTGTCATAGGGCTGGGGAGATAGCTCAGCGGTCTAAGCACCTGCCTGGTAAGAACAAGGATCAGAGTTTGATCCCTGGTACTGCATGCCGTGTCAGCCCCAAAACTGGGCATGATGGCACATACCTGTAATCCCTGGAGAGGCTGAGACAGGAAGAACACTACCAGTCTGAACTGTGTAGCAAGACCCTGTATCAAATAAACAAATTTTTTTGAGACAGAATCTCACTATGCAGGCCAGCCTGGCCTTGAACTCACTATGTAGCCCAGGTGGGCCCCTAACTCATGGCAAACCTCCTTCCTCACCCTCCCAAGCGAGATTACAGGTATGTGCCACCAGGCTTGGCAGCCCAAGAGTTCTTAAAATTTTGGTCTCAAGATTTATTTATACTCTTAAAAACCAATAAAGACTCCCAAAGAGCCTTTGTTTAGGTAAGTTATATCCATCAGTATTAATCAGATATCAGGCCAGGGAGATAGCTCCGCAGCCTGACACGTGCAAGGATCCAAGTTTGAGTTTGATCCCTGGTTCCACATGCCGTACTGCCTCCAAACCAGATGTAGTGGCACACGTGACCCCAGCACGAGGGAGGCTGAGACAGGAGGATCCCTACAAATCCAAACTGTGTAGCAAAGCATTGTGGCAATCCCAGCGCTTGGGAGGCTGAAAAACAGACTCACTATAAGTCCAATCTGTGTAGTGAGACCCTGTAGATCCTGTACTAAGTACATTAAAAAAAAAATCTCAAAATCCCAGAAGTCTAATACAAGTACAGAATCTAGAAATCTATTAGGGAAAAGCAATAAATCAGTCATACAGGTGAATCCATTAGTTACAGCAGACTTCTCAATGCAAACCTTAAGTGACAGTAGAGCTGGGAGAACCCTAATAGAACCCTAACAGAACACAACTTCCAAACCAGACTGACACATCCTGCAAAAACCATCTTTCAAAACTGATGGGAAATCATTAAAAAAAAAAAAAAAACCTGTCAGGAAAATCAGGTCTTTCTATGACAAAGAGCACCTTAAGAAATTCATGACCACCACACTAGCACTCCAAAAGCATAAGGTTATCCTAGAAAGAGGCAATGATGCAAACAATGCCAAAAAGCCAATTAATGCTCATCATAGTCTTACCTTGCAGGCTACGTCAACTAATCGTGTCTGGATGGCTTGGTTCTCTGCTAGTTTAGTGCCAATCGCAAGCAATGTGTCCAGCAATTGAGCGAGGACTTGGTGAGACTCTAGAAAAGAAGATGGAAAATGGAGTTACAGAATTTAAAAAAAAGAGCACCATAAAAACTAATTTACTTTGGTAAAGAATGTACACTTCTGGGCTGGTGAGATGGCTCAGTGGTCTAAAGCACCTACTTAGAACAAGCTAAGCTAAGCAAAGCACAGGGACCGCAGTTCAATCCCCAGCACCACATGCCAGCCAGCCCTGCCCCCTGGTGGGCTGAGCTGGCCACACACACACACACACACACACACACTAAATAAATAAATAAATATTTAAAAAAAAAAGAATGTACACTTCTGCTGGCTGTGTTCTACCATCTCGTGCTTCATCCCTTCAACTAAAAGCCAAATTCCTAAAGGAAATAAGCCTAAAAATTTAGTCTCCCACAGGATTGGGAATATTGCAGAGTAGGTGCTCCAAAAATATTCAGTGCTATGTGAGTCAAAAGCTTTTAACTGCCTTGAAGATAAAGTTCCAATTCCTTAGCAGGACATACACACATACACACCAGGCCTTCCAGGGTAGCTGGCCCTGCCCACTTTTCTAGCTCATCACTTCCAAGTTCAAGCTAGCACTTTTTCCAAATACCCACAATTTCACCCCCTAACTGTTTCTTAGCCTGTCTCTGCCTACAATGCTCTCCTCCATCCCTAAGAAGCACCTGCTCATCCTTTGAGTGTCATTTCTTACACAGAGCTTGTCCTAACACCCCAGAAGAATTAACCTTCCTTGTTCCTCAGCACCCCCAAAGCAGGCATAACACTTTATTATAATCCTGTAATCCCAGCACTTGAGAGGCAGAGGCAGGATTACAGTTGAGTTCGAGGCCAGGCCAGCTTGGACTACATAATGAGCTCAAGGCCAGCCAGTACTGCATAGTGAAACCCTATGTCTGTGTGTGTGTGTGTGTGTGTGTGTGTGTGTGTGACCAGGAATTGAACTCAGGGCCCTGCACTTTCCAGGCAAGCACTTATTCTACTGAGCTATCTCCTCAGCAACCCCCCCCTTTCTTTTCCTTTTCCTATGTCTTAAAAACAAAACACTTTATTATACCTATCATCACATCAGACTAAATCAGAAGATGAAAAGATCTTTTAAATGACTATGCCAGTGGTGGTGGCACACGCCTGAGATTTCACACTCAGGAGGCTGAGACAGGAGGATCACCAAGCATTTAAGGGGCTAAATAGCAAGACCCCATCTCAAAAAAAAAAAAAAAACAGTCTAGCCTGAAAAAAAAAAAAAAAAAAAAAAAAAAAAAACTAATGACTGGGCTTATTCAATTCTGTATTCTCATTAGATCCTCATGAATGTCTGAAAACTGGACAAAGAGCGAAATCCAAATAACCCTATGACATGTTGACTTTCTTGGCCAGATTACGTTATCTTCTTTGTCTAAACACTCTTGTGCTCCAGATACTGTTCTTATAGTGTTGGCCGTATGCAAGAGAATTTCAATGGCATTCCTCTAGTTAGGAGAGTACAGTGTTAATGACTGAAACTAGGGACACAATATAGCCAGCCTCTATTTTTTTTCAGTTAAAACCTCCCTAACTTGTTGCACACCTATAATCCCAGCACTCCGGGGGCTGAGGCAGGAGGATCCCTGTGAGTTCAAGGCCATTCTGAACTGCATAGTAAAACCTTATCTCAAAAAGAGAGAGAAAAAAAAAGATTGCCTTAAGTAGACTAGGCTGGGCTTTAACCTGTGGTCTCCCTATATGGAGCTCCCAAGCAGCTCTGACAAGCATGTGCCACCATGTACAGCTAACCATTTTCATGTTATTAATTAGAAATAGATTCGAATACTACAGATACTATCTATTGATGCCACATATGTGTTTCGTTTATATTACTAATACAAAAGTTATCTTTAAACTGAAGCTAGGTCAACTGCACTAAGCCACACTGACAGACACTCACCTGCTTTCTGAGGAACAGTTTGCTAGGTCATTAAGTTGCCCAGGCTTGGCTTGAATTCATGATCTTTCTGTCTCAGTTCTCAGAGTATTGGGAAAGAATATAGGCAAGTACCACCATGCCTGGCTCAAATTCACTTTATTAAAAAAAAAAAAAAAATCATTCACTCACAAGAAATGGTAAATAAATCAAAATAGATGTGAAGCAAATATGTAAAAAATGGGGTATCTGATATATAACAGACTATAACCTGGAAAACTACATGAATCATTTCTTAGTACGACTTCCAATAAAACAGCATGTTAGGGCTGGTGAGATGGCGCAGTGGTCTAA